GTGTGTGTGTGTGTGTGTGTGTGTGTGTTGTGTTCTTATCTGTGGATGACAGCTTTGGCACTTAAATATCTCCCTCCATGCTTCACTCATTATCTGTTGTCTCCACTGTTGCTCTTTTCAATTCTTTACATATGTTAAATTCCCAATGTACCAAATTCCCCCTGAGGGGATTGGTAAAGAAGTACCATACAATAAATGTCCATCACAATATATAAATTATATAAATGTTTCCGTATTTCTTCTTGGTAAAATTAACCTAAATGCTAAATCTGTCATCAAAGGTGTTTTCGAATAAATTCTTATGGATTTGACTTATTGTTTCAGGCCTCACATGACAATTGAATCATTCTGTCTCAGTGCGATGCACAAAGAGTGTAAATTATCAACAGTTGGCTGGCAGTTCCTCAGTTACCTAACATAACCTGAGGCTGACTCTGGGTCAGGGTCTTGCATGGTTGAGATCATATATTTGAGATCAGTGCACAACATCCCCCACGTGAACACACAGATTTGCATTTTCATCTCAATCCATCTGCCTGGATGCATGGAGAGAATAGACAGCGACATTAGCCTCAGTTGATCTCACCAATGCGCACAAATGCAATTGCACCAAAGAGTGAGCGCACCCCAGGCGTCGGTGGAACAGTGCATATGGCAGCTTTGTGAATACAATCAAAACCTGCGTACTTTGACTCTATTAGTGAAGATGGGAGGATCCAGGCACATTTTCATGAAGCAGAAAATACAGTGTTTCACAATGAAAGTGAATTTAGAAAAAAATGTTACTTGATATATTTGAGGTATTTTCCTGCTGGATCTGGTTTGGTTTACTTTAAATGTTTAGTGGTATCTGATGAGGCAGTCACCATCCAAACTCTTTACTCATACAGATCCATTCATCCATCCATTATCTACACCACTTATCCTTTGAGGGTCGTGGGGGGACCTGGAGCCAATCCAAGTTGACATTCGGCGAGAGGTGGGGTACACCACCAAGTACATCAGAAGGCCAACATATAGACAAAGGACCATCCTCTCTCACATTCACACTCAAGGACAATGTAAAAAATCAACCCTCATATAAATGTGCATGTCTTTGGACTGTGGAAAGAAATCGGAGTAGCTGTAGAAAACCTCCACAGACATGCAAACTCCACACTTTAAGGATCCCTGGTTGAACTGGGATTCAAACCAAAGAACCCCTGACAGTGCTAGACACGACACTCAAAACCAAACATGTTGACACACTAGTGGCACTAGAGGAAATGTCAAAAGGAATTTGCCAGCATCAGCAGGATTCAAGTTTTAATCTTTTTAATATTATAGTTGTAAAGACATTTCAGTGGTTGACTGACAGACAGACCACGATTACTGACCACAGGGCCCAATATATTCATGAGGTTTCCTAAGCAAGTACAACCTCCTTCACACCCCCATGTCTTACAATAACAATTAACTTTTTAGAAACTCTTGATTTATTTATTTATTTTATTGGGATTTTGCAATAATTACAGAGTATAACAAAGAACTAAAATAACCCCATCCCGTTCTACAACCTGTAAGAACAAGAACGATAATGAAGAATATAATAGAAAAAATTAAACTGCTTCATAAATAATTAAAGTAAGTATTTTAAGCTCCATTTGCTGGTAGAGGTAGTGATAAAGTGCGCTCTGACTGTAGCTGAAGGGATTAAGTTTCACATATCACAGAATTGTCACCCAAGTAATTATGTACAAATACACAAGGTCTTATAAGCAGGGGGTACAACGTGTTTAAACGGTATGGCTAAGAGATAAAGAAAGGGCAAAGAAATTAAATTGAATAAAGTAAATATGTGGGTGAATAAAACAGAACAAAATTCAGCAAACATGAGTTCATGATTAGAAATTTACCTTGAAGGAGAGCAGCTCAGAAACCTTCCGGTTTATTGTACATTTTTTTGAATGTATGTCTTCTAAAATCATGTGGGTTGTGTTTTTATATCTCAATAATTAAGGCAGCTGTATGGAGTCATTGAGTTTGTCTTGAGAAAAAGAAGAATGACATCTTTGAAGTTCTAGTACAAGGCTCAAGGTTGTTCAAGCTACTCCAAAGAATTATAAAAAAAGAAAACCTCTAGTCTAATCAGTGTGTGATAAACAGGCTCCACTAATGGCTCTGATGACTTCATTTAAATGCAGAGACAGGTGCAGAGATGTGCTCAGTGTGACATCTCCAAATTACTTAACACCAGCACTACTCTTACACGTTTCCTATAATGCTTCAAAACATGTCATATTACTGTTCTGAAATTATATTGAGGATCAAGATGTCACTGCTACCTCCATCTTTTAGATATGCTCACAGCATTTCAAAATCCTACAGAGGACATTGCTCAGTCAGGCTGTCCACCACTTAGGTCCAGACTGAAATGAGTGTTTCCAGAGGATTGTTCCTTCTGATTCTAGCGACCTCTACTTTAATGCCACCATCAGGTCAAAGTTTCCACTCAACCTGTGAAACATCTCGACATATATTGAATGGATTGGCACAGAATTTGCTGCAGATATTTTCGGTTCCCAGTCAACGATCCTCTGAGTTCTCCTCCAGCGTCAGTTTGAGCAATACCAGTGACAACACAAATTCTTGGCTCAATTGCAACCATTTGCAAAATGTGAGACATGAAACATCGGTGTCTTAAGAAACCACATCTTCTTCAG